GCCTCAAGCTCCGCAAGTCCCACCGCACCACCATCAACAACACACTCTTGAAGACCCGCTCCGAGAATCTCCTCTATGGTCTCCTGGTCGCATCCGGGAAGCTCGTGTCCGTCGTCCGTCCCAAGAAGCATAGCCTGCATCCTGGTGACCTGCACCTGATCTTCAACATGCTCTTCGAAGCCGGTAGCGTCAAGGCTGGGGGTGGAGAAAACTGGATTCCACTATGCTTGCCAGGGTTCAACAACACGGGCTACTTGTACATGTACGTAAGCTTCCTCAATCTCGAACATCCAACGGAGCAGATGCAAGAGCGGCCTCGCACGAGCGACGGTGCCGACGACGAGGTCGCGGTCCTCTTGATCAGTGCGGAGAAGGAAAGCTTCTTTGAGCTTAGGCGTATGAGGGATGATTTAGTCGAGGTAAGCTCACAGTTTCTTTACATTCCACTGCAAAGTCTCCTTAATACCCGGGGGACCGGGATGATACGTGAGGACGCGTGGAATGCTAGTCAAATGGCCTCTCTGTCCCGCCCCAGGACGTTGTCCCGTGCCTTAAGATTGATGCATCGAATGATGTGGGCTCGAACGGGCTCAGAGGCGAAATTCGCTCATTCTCGGTGTTCTCCCATGGGTTCTCATGGGTTTATTGCCGGTACGCGCGAATTGTATACCCGTACGAGGGCCACGGGGCAACTTTGCGATTCGGCTTCGGACGTCAGCATCTCCGATGCTCCTAGCCCATCCTGCCCGTCGGATTCCGCATCCCCTTCCCTTTGCCCCGGTCACCGCGTTCTTTCGGTCCTTTGGTCGTTCCGTCCGTGTGGTTTCAATATGGCCAGGATTATCTGAGAAGAGAGCAATGCATTCGGTACAACGTAGATGTTTCGTGGGCTAACGGGTATTTCCGCAGAGCTTGCAACGCAATGGATCCATTGAGGCTATACGTACAGCTGTGCAGCAAGGCCGTCCCACTTGTACAGATATTGTGCCTGGCAGTCCGCTGAGGCACTTTCTATACAAGTCGAGGGGTAACGTGCAGTTTACCATGCCGAGTTATACACCTTACTTCGAGGGTGATCTTGAGAAGAGACGGTCCGTATCCCCACCCTTTGCACGTGATCTCGCAATCAACTGCCCCACATGCATACCAAGAAGTCTTGCTGACACTACCGTTTCCTCCAGATTGATCGACCTGTACAATAAACTTCACAGTAATTTGCACAACAAGCCGTCGACGCTTAAGGTGCATCATGAAACCAACACGACGTGTATAGCGTTAGCGTGGAGTACACCGCTGTTTGAGCTTTATGCTGTTGCGCCGGCAAATACGTCGAGAGCAGCGCTTGCACAGAGTGCGAACAAGGTCATTCAGTGGGTGCGACGAGAAGAGGAGAGAGTGTTCATCATTGGAGGTGCTGTATTCTAGAATTTCAACCACGCGAGGTGTTACAATCGGTAGAGCTTATATACCCATTAAAGCAAGGCAAGGGGAAAATAAAAGTATACCACAAACATCTTTATTGCGACTATCATCAGAGACACTATGCAGTGCATCTCCAACTAAGCCTTTGGCAAATAGCCAGCTCCCCTCATCTGCTCAAACACGTCTCTCAAACTTGCCCAAGTGTCTCTGTAGCCAGTCCAGCCAAACTCCCTTGCCTTGCTCATGCTAATCACCAGATCAAAGTTGCGTCCCAGTGCGAACCCGGTGAAAGCCCACGTCGCCTTGTCAAAACTACTCTTGTCCAGACCTTCACGCTCAGCAAGACGTTCCCATGCAGCCTTGACATCAGCCCGCTGCGACCACTTGACCAAATCCACATGCTGCTCCACGACATTCTTCTCCAGCGCCGGCGTGCCCTCAATCCCAATCTCATCTGCGACAACACTGATGGGAGGCTGAGGCGCCATCTCCATAGCACTCGACATATCCTGTTTGCCCACGACTTTCTTGATTAGGCTGGATCCCACACCACCGCTTGTATACGCATCTTTGAACTGATCAGGCTTAACCCTCCCGCCAAAGTACTCAACGACCTTGGGCCAGAGGTTCTGCCAACTGTCCACATCGCCGTTGACGACGTTGAAAGCTTGATTCGCAGCGCGCGGCTCCAGAGCCGCCCAGGCACAGAACTCAGCGTGTAGCTTGGAAGAGGTAAAGGAGTCGAACTTGGTGTAGAAGGCGGGTGAGCCGGGGAACGTGACATCTTCGTTTCCGGAGAGCTCTTTAGATATGAGGGTGTAGAGAGCAATGGCGGAGGAGAGGTTCATGAAGTTTCCCATGGCGAAGCCGATGACATCGTTGGGGTAAGTGGCCACCCACTCTTTGTTGTGTTTCTTGCAGAAATCGTGCAAGATGTTTTGCTGGTTGTAGTAGAAGTTTGGGGGCCATTTCGATGTGTCGGTTAGCCAGGGTAAGTCTTCGGTCATGGGTTGTTTCGGCATGCCTAGGTGCACACCGTATTGCTTGCAACCGCATACTAGGATGATTCTCTTGACATCTGAGACTGCGCCGGTTTTCTCGAGGGCGGAGAGGAAGTTGGAGAGCATGCGGCCGTTGACTTCCCAGGCGTCTTCTTCTTTGTCTTGGGCTAGGTAGGCGGCGAAGAAGATGTATTCGCCGCGCACGTTCTTGAGATCGTTGGCCATTTCATCGGGAGATGACTGTAAGTCGATGTGGTTGTGAATGACGTTGTCGGCATAGTCTTCCTTCTTGCTGCGCGAGAGCGCATGGATTGTGGGCCATTGTTGGCGGTGTTGGCTGAGTTCGGAGACAATCTCACGGCCAAGGATGCCTAGGCCAGGTGAGGATAGGACCGAATGGAGTGACTTTGGTACGTACCAGTTGCTCCGGTGACTATTGCAGAAGGCATGTTGTAATGTGGTGTGAGTTGTGTGAGTCGATTGCTGTGTAAGTTGACGTTGGAGGAAGTGACGGTATAAGAAGCAAATGGCTGTGATTCATGCATGACGTAACAATGCATTCATGAAGAGGTGTGTCACGAATGGACCTCATGATGCAACATCCACTTGCAAGATAGTACATCTGAGGTGGCGATGCGCTCACGGCTATCGCATCCGGCGATTTGGGTCGATGCGGTAATGCATCGATCACAGATGTCTGCCAAGATCGCAGCACCCAGTGTGGGAGCGGTGTCTTCGTATGTGTTGCACACTTGAGTCGAGTGAGAATGCGTGGCATTGTAGAGAGAGTGCTACGAACAATCCTGGCTTCCATAGCCTCCAAAGAACATATGGTGGTAGCAGGCATAGAGCAGATGGATCCAGGATTGGCACCGAATCGAGAGTTGAAACTCGCATGTTCGTGCCTCAGCCACCATATGAAAGGGACCTGTGTCTCGTCCTATCTTCTGAGAAAGCTTGTAGTCTCCTTCACCGAGCTAGGACAAAGTGAATCCAGAATGGGTCTGGTGGGATGTGTGGTGAAGAACATGCTCGGCATGGGAGGATGCTTGGCAAAGCCGAACGTCCAACGGAATCATGTCTTGTCGTTCCGCCCTCTAGCCCCAGAAGATGCATCTTCGTTCGCGTGACTCGTGTAGTGCCTGTCGTACTCTCTTCGACTATTGTACTTCCGTCTCATGCCGAATCAGATGCCAGGTGTCGCGTGTCGTGTCGCGGGGTATCCGATGTGTTCGTAATGCGTTTCGTATAGAGTGAGAGGAGAGGGGCGGTCTTGAATTGAAGGCGATCTCATTTGGGAGGGCGCTTTTGCCATGTAAGTTCGCGGAACTGGTTCTTCACTTCATCTCTAAAGTGGTCAAGTGATGATGGGCCGGTTCCTGAAGAGATCAGTACTTGATTATGTGGACGATGTTCATCAAGACATACTGCCTCCGCCATTCTTCTGTTCAAAGTCGGGCAGCCTGTTGATCTTGCGATAGGCCTTCTGGATGGCTCGGTTGAATGCCGGGGAGCGGATGAGCTTCGAGGAGTCAGTAGCTGTAGCGACATGGGGATATTGGAGGATTGTCGACGTGCCTTTGCGACGGCCCAAGCCTTGCCCAGCTGTCAGCTCGATGTCTCTGTGTGGGCGGGGAATGGCACAAACCTCGAAGAGAGCGAACCAGGGAGCACCCATGGTGTGTTCAATCAAGCATTCACAAGCGCGGGTAGCTGCTACGGCAAGATAGCAGATGCGTGCAGGCGTTGCGTTGGGGGAGGGGTGGTGGCAACGGTGGTTGAGTGATGGATCATGGAGCAGCCTCGGAATGGCGAGCGGAAGCAACTAGACACAACCGGGACTGGGCCCTGCACCTGTGACGCGACCGCGCCTGACGTTTGATGTGGACCCTCGCTTCATTGATTGTTTCTTCTGGTGACGTACAAATGTTTGGTTTCTAACATCTCAAGTCTCCCATCTTCTTTTCTGTGGTTGCATCTTTCTTCTTACCATCGCTGGGATAACGTCGGCCGCCTTGTCAGCCTGCTCGACAACGCCTTGACCTGCCCGCGCACCCCCGCCAGCTGCTCCACTACACGCTCGCGTACAGCCCCTCATCTAGAACACGCCTCGCTGGAACCTGGTTCTTGGGCGCTGCACGCCGTTGGCTTGATAATCTTACAGTCGACTTCCTCGCGCTACAATAGCCTCGGAATCGCCTTGGACGTCAGTTTGTCAACGTCCCTCGGCCAGCCACTGTACAACTGCGCGTCGTCGCTCAGCGTATTGCTATACGCTCCGCCATCGCTAAACATCAATCTGGCAAGGCCCCGGACCCCCACGAGTCGCACACGTGTCAGTGGAGGCATATCATCTGCGGCACTCCACTATCAAGCCCGTTATTCCTTTCTTGGACGCGCCACGCCTGCACCTAACCGCCTCCCGTCACCATCCCCTCGTCAAACTTTCTTGCTCCTCCACTGCCAGGACCCGAATCGCTCCCGGAATCCCATCACAACTTCTTCAAGCTGCATAAACTCCGCGCCCTCCGGCGCAAGGCGAAGCTCAAGGGCGTCCTCATCAGGACCGACCCAGCCATGGCTCAAGCCGGCGATGCCATCTCGCCTACCTCGTCCAAGCGCTCCCGTAGCAAGGACAGCACGCGATCAATCACCACCTCGTCCCTCAACACCCCGGCCGCCAACACTCCCTCTGTGAGCACGAATAGTCTCGTCATCTCCACTGCCCCCGTCACAAGCGAAGCAACCGGCGAAGATGCAGTTCCCTATCCCGCTTTCCTGAAGCAGAGCAAGGACATAAATACCAAATGGAATCGCTTGGAGATGGCGCAAATGGAGCGCCTAAGGGATACGGCCCAGGGCACTGGACCCGACGAACCCGGCAAGTGGGCAAGGTGCTTTGGGGAAGACTACGCCATCCGCAACCGATACATCAACGTCGACCCATACCAGTCCAACAGAGTGCATCTTGACGTACCAGAGGGCCATTTCGATTACATCAATGCCTCGCCAATACTGCTCGAGACCACCAAGTCTGGGACGGCGCTCAAGTACATCGCGACCCAAGGCCCCAAATCCGACAGCTGGTCGCATATCTGGCGCATGATATGGAAGGAGAATCAGTCGCCCGCAGTCATAGTCATGCTGACCCAGACCCACGAAGCGAACCGAGAGAAATGCTACCCTTACTACCCGCAATCGCCCTCGAGTCCGGACATGCGCATCAACGAGCACGACGAATTCGAAGACGGCTTCGTACACAACCTTCACCTCGCGTCGTACACAATAGATGAAGAGGCGAGGACGCAAGTGAGGGAGATCGATATGACCACGGATGACGGCAGCGAGTCGAGGAAGATCTGGCATCTGCTCTTCGCTGGCTGGCCAGACTTCTCGGTACCAGAGGGCGACGATCGCGCTGGCATGCTGAAGTTGGTGGACATCTCGCGATCCAAGAACACAGACAACTCGACCAACCCACGCATCGTTCACTGCAGCGCAGGCATCGGTCGCAGTGGCACCTTTATTGCGCTCGACTGGCTTATGCAGGAGCTTGACGAGGGTGCCTTGGACGATGTACCAGAGGACGAGGATCCTGTACTAAGAGTTGTGGAGATGCTCCGAGACCAGCGAGCTGGCATGGTTCAGTCAAAGATACAGTTCCAGTTCATATACGATGTGATGCGCGAGCGATGGCGCGAACGATGGATCTCTGAACATCCAGACGAAGCAAACCAGCTCGGCCTCGCAATCGCTGCGCCCGCGTCCGATAGCGAACAACCTGCCCTTAAGCGCCAAAAGTCGTTACACAATAGCGAAGCCGCCAACGAAAGCCTTACGCTGCTGCCATCCCGACCGGCGAGTTCGCGGGGTGCCTCCAGCTCGCCAGCGCCAGATGCAGAGGCACGCGCACAGCTGGAAGCCGAGCTTCAGGATGCGGACATGGAGTATGAGAAGGGCAAGACATAGTCGTTTCTGCACTTACTGAAGCCTTCACGCCGACCACGCAGGAAGGCGACACCATGGACTCCGCTTCGTCCACCCGTGCAGTCTTATCATACATTCGCGGACACTATTCCACCTCCTACAGGTCCTGGTGCTCAACCTGCAATGGTGATTACTGGCGGTGTACTTGAGAACGTGGGTGCAGATGGGGAGATTGAGCAGCAAGATGGCGCTGTTGACCTCGAAGCGCAAACTGCTCCGCCACCACCACCACCCTCTCCTCGTCGCAATTCTTCCGACAACACGTTGCCGGGTTCGCGTCCTCCGTTGGGGGAAGTTTGTGGCCGTTATCACGTTGTTTTGATCATGATGGGTATTACTTCGGCCTTGGTTGTTGGCTTTATGTTTGTGTACTGGGATGCCGTAGATAGAGTTTAATTGTGTGTCCTGTTTTTAGTTCAGAAAGCATAGCGTTGCGAATACCCCTCGGATTGGGTTGGTTTGGTTTTCGGTCACGGCGGCGGTAAGCATTGCACAGCGAAAGCAGCATCGTCTGCGATCGTACGTGCGCTTTATTGGTAATTTAGACTATCCTTCTTCGCTGTTCATCTCGATCCCGTCTTGCGTCTTTAGTGGTATCATGCTAATCTTTCTGCTGTCGCTCGTCTTATCGCGAAACACACTACGGCCGTACCTTTAGGGCTTATTTGCGCTCAGTCCGTGGACGTTGCTCCGCTTCCCGTGCAGTTCTAGACTTTAATATAAGCTTTGGCAACGGGTTTACTAAACACGACATGTTTGCCCCCCGAACTCAGTCCGTGTACCAAGACCACCGAAGGACCCCGGATTTTCGCAGTCTTTACTCTGTTTTCTCTAGCGAAGACGGCGTCATCCCTCTGCGTTTTGACTGGGTACTTGCCCCAGCTTCACGATGTACAGATAGATGAGGCTGTGTGAAGACGGGAAGTCTGTCTGCCCAGGTGATATCTTGGCCCCTCGGTTTTCTGCAAGAGAGAACTTGTATTTGTCTGCCTCGTACATTGACTTCCACCCCGTCATGAAACGTGACCAAACCCTCGCGAATACCCTCACGTCGCCTAACCTCAAGGACCACCGCGTCGTTTAAGCTGACCAAGGTAGCTACAGCTGCCTAGCCAGCTAACTCTGTCAACTCATGTATTTACCTGCATACTACTAAGCAGCCACAATAGTCCTGTTTCGCAACTCCAGCCCCGTCATGTATCAATTCGACACAGCTGCTTCGACTTGAAACAAAATGTCGCACCTTGGGACGTATCATCAAGCCACACTACCGGAGACTTTTTGCAAGAGTGAGGGGACCTGGACTCGAGAGTTGTCATCGGTCTTCGCTTATCGTGAGTCTAGGTTGGACGACTGGTTTGTTATTCTGCGGGTGGAAGGTATATCATCGGTGTAAGCTTACTTGAGCGTTTCTTGGCCTTTCGTTTACCTTTTTCGGGGTAGAGGTGATAATTATCAAAGTGGAGTTTGATATGATTGTCTGAGAAGCTAGATGCTTAGAGACTTGGTTGCGACATAATATTGCGATGGTAGTCATTGTCGGTTGTCGGACTGTAGAATTGCATCTTGCGAGCAGATGACGAATTCGTGATAATGATCAAGGTACAACAGCACTCGAAATATGACGAATTCATCCTGCTGCTCGCTATCGTTTGGCTATTGGTTGGGCGGTGCAATGAGAATCTGATTACAACCTACTGCGTAGTTGCACTCGCATCATAACCCGAGCGAAGTTCATCCCCGTTGCTCAACGTCTGCAATGCCCCGATCGGCGTAAACGCCGCGATAACGCGACGGATATTCGCCATTCACGCCGCATACCTGACTTGCATCTTACTTCAGCAGAGAAACAAACTTCCCACTGCGTTTGGTTGGACCCAGGCCGTTGGGATGAACTGGAGGTATACTAGTTGCGCGGACATTTCGTCCGAGATCATGCATTTTCCTCTGCGCAGTCGAATGTACCGTTCTGCCACCTTGTTGGTTGGGAGAGGGGTCTCCGTAGCGGTGAGCTCATTTGTTTATCTGTGACGTTTTCTTGAAAAAATGATGCGACGCATAAACAGTTGTAATTACCTCGCCGGTGCACGTCGCCGACTGACGAGTACCGTTGATGTGAAGATCCCGAGGTTCGCTACAGATCAGCAGGAGATGGTAATATTGCGCATTACTCGAGTGCGGTGTTGGTAACCGCAAATGATGATCGACCCCTGCGAAAAGGTGATGTCTGGGCATGTGGTGCGTCAAAACAGCTACAGATCGATCATTGTAATGATTTTCCATGCTGTCTGTGAAGATTGACGAGATGACGTGCCGAATTGTCAGGTACAAGGCCGATACGTATCGGACTGTGCCAATGATCGACGGCTTAACGAGTCGTCCCAACACCATTCATCCCTGTAATTGCGCGGTATCAAGGAATTTGACTCCACGGACGCAAACTTGAAGACTCAGCCGCATCCACACGCCGATGTTCCACGATACCCGTTTTACCATACTACTGACCGTTGATTCGCCGTGGCCAAGGTGTCCGATTCAGAGTTTAGAGCAATGCGGGGCATCTCTTGCTTGGCTTCGCAACACTGAGGAGGACGAACATGGGTACAAATGGGGTAATGTAGCCCTGCTGTCATTGCCCAAAAACACCAAGTGCGGCTGTAACCGAGCCCGTTTTCGGTCTGTCTTGAGAACACGGTGACGTCGTCGAAAATCCTGCTTGTGCAGAAATTCCATTTGCCGCCTACTGTAACAAATTGCATACGAGGCGATGTGATGCACTCGAAAGCTGTATACTGTTGCGAAATTCTCTAAGCGAGGTTGTTCAGCCGTTCTTGTTCGCCTCTTTCGCGCATATCTTGTGCTGGGACTGGGGTAGCACATGGGTGCCGATCAGCCGACTGTATAGCCGTCGTATGGTGGTCGTATAGGGATTGTTCGTTAGGCAGTCTCTTGGCTTTCCCGGGCGATACATTGCAGCTAACTTGTCGCTTTACAATCTGCTGTGTGCTGGCAACAATGATCGTATCGATATGCTGGACCTAGAGGGCCGGATAGAGGAGTTACAATATCCAGCGGGCATATCGTTACCAGCATCAAGATAGTCGAGTCACGTCCCTTCCTCATGTGAGGACGCACGTGTCCCAGATGAAGTATCTTGCCCCCACATACCATTCCCAATCAATAGCTCTTTCTGACCAGGCAGGCTGGAGGACCTACAGGTTTTGGCGATCGCGTGAGCGTAACCGCATCAGCAACACCGTGCACTACTACTCGCGACCTGTACAGGACAGTAGTGTCTTCGAAACAAGGCAAAGTTGATTGAGTGATCGCAACTTCGATGCGAAACCGCGGGCATCCAAAGGTATTTCGAAGGAAATATTGCGGACGTAAGGACATCAGTTGTCCCGTCCCGGACGTCGATCGCGGACGGTCATCGTGGTCAGTGATATCAATGCGTCGGAAGGGCCGATTGCTCCTGTACGAAAAGCCGAAAGCAAGTTATTTCGAACAACGTTCGTACGATCGCAAATTCTGGTATCGAAAGAAATATCCATCTTTGGACCCGCTGGTCTCTCAGATCGTGACTACTTCGTGACTACTTCGTGGCCTACCACGGCAGGTCTACCGACAACCTTTGCGAGAACAACTTACGTGATAGTCAATCTGATAAGGGAGAAATGGCGGTACTCTAGACGAAAAGGTTGCACAAGAACGTCATAATTGATGCTCAAAACTTATCGCCGGTGGCTGACATGAAGACGCGCACTCATGAAACAAGTCTCGACCATCGCTGTCATGGTCCAAGTGGAGATGCATTTTGCTCTCGGCGAAACCAGTGTGCTGGCGCTTGGAGCTGGGGTTCCCCATCCAGCAGTGGATATGCTGTTAACGGGTCGATCATTGATCACCAGGTCCTTCGCGTTGCGGATATTGCCGAGACGTGATAGCTGCAGTAATTCGCAATGCTGTCTCATGGGTGATGCATGCTACAATGTCGGTATGTTGATGCCGTCAAGTGCGTTGAGATGCATTGTGCCATGAGAAGGGTCTGAGCACCGTCTGAACATGATTAGTTTCTCAAAGCCCGACCACCAGCCGAAGGTTTAGTCGATAGTGCTTCAGCTTGGTCTTTGGTGGTGTACGGCTTTCGCGTCAACCTTCCTCCTCAGGCTCTTTAGAGATCCACAAAGCACTGTTTCCTAGTGAGCACCCGTTGTTCGAGACCTCAACAACGTGGCTGTCTGCGATGTGACGTGGGTGGGCAGACCGTAGTAGTACACAAGCGTCGAAGCTTTCAGCCTTGAATTTTCCAGTGGGACCAAGTGGGAACGGAACGGCTTTGGTGATTCGCCTCATTGCTATTCCCGTCTATGAGGCTCAACTCGGCTTCGACGTGCTGCTTGTCCGCACAGGCAGACCGGCCCATTTTTCGTCAGCCACAATTTATCGCGAAGATCGGCTTATCGCTGGCTGAGAAGCTGCAGCGAGCTAGCCGTGTGAACGAAGTTGTGTTTTCAGGTTCGTTGACATCATTTCGCGCTGGACAGCGAGCGCGAAGACGAAGGACTTGGGACCCTAGCCGCGAAGAGCTTTCAGGGCCAGGCTCGGTCGCGCGGTGTTCACAACGACCGTTTGACTCGGCTTCGGATGTTCCAAGCCGGAAGCCACTGCATTGCCGAGCATGATGGGTGCCGAGTATTTTCGTCCCCTACCTAAGTAGCGGAGAAGGGACACCGCCAGCTAATCCTTGGCGCCAGAAGACTCCTCATTGCGAGGTACACGTTGCTTCGAGGCTTGGAAGCCTGGGATGCCCAGGATGCGCGGCGTGTGGCTCGATGAGCAAGTATTCTACACTTAGATCTCGAATCGAAATGAGGCCCCTATATGCCGCCGGGACCAGGTAGGGTTCCCGTGATCATTAGTCCTCGTTGTTTAGGAAGCGATTTGTGGAGATCATGAGGCGGAGTTCAGACTGACCCAAC